GAAGGAAGGAAGGAAGGAAGGAAGGAAGGAAGGAAGGAAGGAAGGAAGGAAGGACAGACAACCCGTGTCTACCTGTTCTGCTTGGCCATTATTGGAACGGAAAACAAAGCAACAAAAGTTCAGTCTGATTCTTCTCAGTAGTCTGAATCTTCACCATCTCCTTCCTGAGCAACAGGTAAGTTCTCTAGACCATGGCTTATTTTCTTTTAATATTTTTATGTAATTATGATTGGCTTCTTCAATGCTACCAGTGATGTAGCAACTAACAGTTTTATGGAGTTTACTGTGGCAATGATGATGAACCTACATGGTTTTTAAAGGGGACTAAATACATTTGTAATAGAGGATCTGTTTATCAATAGCTATGTGCCTGATCACTTTTCACAGCTTTCCACTTCAGAGGTAAGGCTGGCAGAGAATGGGAAAAGGTTATTATCTTTATATGTTATATTCAGTTTTAATGATTGTGAAAAGCTCCTACTCAAAAAATGGGTAACTATGGATAACACCCTCAAGTTCATTAACATTGAAAGGTATTTTAAATAATAATTTCTGGTTCATATGTATAAGCATGTGATCATAAGCAAAAAACTGCCGAAAATCAAATTTGATTCTGATTAAGTCCCACTTCAGGCTGCATTAAAAGTAGAGAAGGAATGGCAACGTGCAAGCCCAAGCCTTTGTTAAGGCTGATACACTCATCTATGTGGCCCTAAATCAGAGCTCAGTACCGTGAAATGCAGCCACAATTAAAAAGAGCAGAGAAAGCAAAATCCAAAACCCTCATGTCATAAACAGATGCAAAAAAAAAAAAGAGAGGCTCAGTTGGTACAATTTCATATTTCTTATAATATAATGTAGTCTATTATCCTCCAAAGGATACATTTACAAAGCTACTTACTTCAAATTTCTTGTAGAAGGATGCATTCTCTAGCTCAGTCAGCAACTTCGTTAACTTACATTCCTGTGCATTGAGCCAGCTCAAGGTCTCTTTGACTTTTCCCTGGGAAACAGAACAAAAAGTTATGTATGCGCACAGATATTCCTGTTTGCATTGTTACAGAAAATAGCATTCTGTTAATCTTATTCCCAGAGATTTTACCCTCCACAGACTGCTTTGCAATCAACTCTGAAATATATTTGCTTTAATTCATATGGCTTGTTTAGTTTTTGGCTCAGCAAGCTGTTTGACCCCCAAACATTGAGTGTTACAGCATAATTCAGCACAATCTGTGAACGAGACCTCTATGGCTCAACCAATAAATCATGGCTAAAATAAACCACTGTTTAGCATGATGTGATACAGTGTCTAGAATATATCACACTGGCTGGATTCACACATTATGTGAACTATTTGTATTAACTTAGTGTAATGTGTGGACCAAGCCATTATGGCTTAGCAGTATAAGCAAATTAGATTACTCTGACTGTTTTAACAAACCATGATTTTAAAAAATGGACTTAGCATTATATATGTACCAAGATCATAATCTTAAGCAACATTAATTATCAGCGAGTATGCTATCTGAGCCAGCTGCAGGTCTAATCACAGTTTTCAAAAATAAAGCTTATCATGGCATGGATTTTCTAGATGGAACACTTATAGATAACTGAAAAAACAGGATGCAAAGTGTAAAACATGTTCTAGAGATTTAAGATTTCACATACCTGCATTTTATCTTCAGCCACAGGTAAACTTTTAAAATACTGGAGAAACTGAGCCACATAAGTCATGATGGATTTTTCATCTGGACTGGGGACATCAACATCTGTGGAATGCCAGAAGCTTTGAACATATTCCAAAGTACAAGCTTCTAATAATACAGTGCACTGCTCTTAGGAAAACCAATGCACTATATATATTAGCGATTATATCCGCGTTGCCCCTAAAAACTCAGTAATTGCATTAGTGATGGGTTTCACAATTGCCTGGTCCACAAATAAATATTTTTTTCTGGGTTTCAGCTTAGCATGATTTATGAGCCACACATTCTAGTTTAACATTACGTATAAACTAGACCGATATAGCTTGTTCTACAAAAAAAAGTCTTATTGGGATGTGCTAACACACCAATTAACTGTAGATTAATTCCCATAGCTGCTGAATTGGTTATGGGCCAACCACTGCATGACAGGGGCAAAGTATTTTTAATGCCCCTCTTCAAATTTGTAAAATTTGAGGAGGGGCATTAAAGACACAAAGTAATAGATCCAGTGTGATGGAGAGGCTTCCAATTTAATTCCCCAATGCTTCTATCTCCTGCCTGCTGTCTTATCTCATTGGGAATGAATGTTGGTGGCCCAAATGGAAGACAGATCCTTCAAAATGTTGAGAGATCAGAGGAATTGACCGTGATGTTTCCTAGTGGGAAATTATATTATCAGCCCTTCCCCTTCTACACAGTAGGCAGAGGAGGAAATCATGGGACAAATACTTGTGGACTCCTAGCAAGAATGAAACACTATAGCCTTTCCCATCTTTGAGTGAAATCTCTGCCACTCAATACACCGCAGCTCCCTTTTCCAATGTGAATACTCTTCCCCTTTCAAGAAGAAAGTGGGGCAGAATCTCCAAGAAGATGTGACATGGCTTCCAAATGTCTTAGGTGTGGCCCCAAAAGATGATATTTAAATGTAAATGAAATAAAGCCATTTATTTGGCTTTATTGTTTCTGGCATGACACTGCTTGCTTTTGGAAATGCAGCTATAGGTCTGAATAAGGTTCCTTACCTCTGCTCTAAGATTTCCCCAGGGAAGGGTTAAATTGTTCACAGAGAAAGCCTAAACAGTCTGTTTTCAGTATTCAGCCTAACAAAGCCCCAAAAAGGACAGTGAAGAATCCTTGTGGCTAATGAAGTTGCAGAGCTCTCCTTAACCTAATGCCCTCCCAGATGTGTTAGACTAGAACTCCAGAATTAGACCATTCTGGGGCAAATGGATCTATGGCTTGACCTAAATATTTTATATAACTTCATATATCTATTCTAAAAACAACCAAAAGTATTATAGAAATGCATGCCTAATAGTGATATTAAAGAAAATTACAAAGTACAGTGGTACCTCGGGTCACGAACTTAATTTGTTCCACGACTCTGGTCGCGATCCAAATTGGTCGCGACCCGAATCAAATTTTCCCATAAGGTTCAATGTAAAC